CGTACTCTACCCTAACCCTCACATTCCCTATGCCCTAACCCACACATACCCCGTACTCTACCCTAACCCACACATTCCCTATACCCTACCCTAACCCACACATACCCCGTACTCTACCCTAACCCACACATACTCTGTACTCTACTATAACCCTAACCCACATATACTCTGTACTCTTCTCTAACCCTAACCCACATATACTCTGTACTCTTCCCTAACCCAAACACATGCCATACTTCACCCTAACCATAACCCACACATATTCCATACTCTGAAGTTTTTAAAGAACAGCATGGTGGATCGACAGCTAATGTTTAAAAAAAGGTTTGAAAAAAGTTGAAGGAAAGCTGAAACTTCTGTGGTCACCCCCAGAGGTTAGATTAAAAGGAGTAAGGGGAACTGCTCTATAGGCTTAATATGGCTGCCTTACCTCCCCTCCACCCCAGAACACTAACATCATCCACATCAGAACATGGTGTGTATGCATTATAGCCTGAGCTGTTTGTGCTTAACAGCTGTTTTTGTCCAATGCGACGTACATGTGAGGAGCAGAAGATAGGCTCCACCAGCATCCCTGGAGAAATGGGGCATCTGAGAGTGATGAGATATGACTCAGATTTGAACCCATGACCTTCCTGACACAGATTCCTTGTTTTACATTTAGATTGGCCGCTTTTTCGGTGAGATCGATTCCCATTTGATGAAGACCCTGGTGAACACATCGCTGTACTCCTTCCACAAGACCTACGACTACCAGTCTGTGTGCAGACGGGAACGAGAGAACAAGGCAGCTGGCTTTCGCTCCATCTACGTGGTGAGGAGAGCATGCAGCCTGGAGTTTCCATAGGAGATCATTATGAAAAGACTGCTTTTCTGAAGGGAATGAAACCTGGAGGAGATCCTATTGCTGTGTGTACAGCCTGGTGAACTTTAATCAGAATATATCAGGGTAACCTTATTATCGGGTGCTGGAACCTGGGAATGTTCTGGCATCATCATAGTAGCATATGTTCTAGTAGATACCACCATCAGTACCAGGAACTTCTTCAGACCCCATGTTTGTTTCCCCATAGCCCACAATAGCAGATATACTACATTTGGGCTGGTGGACCACGACCATGGCCTGGTAAGTTGCCCTTAAAAACACCATCTTCTGTCTCTTTCACACTCGTGTCAGCAGGAACAGCTAATGTTTAGGTTGAAAGACAGATGAACAGAAAGACACACAGACAGAGAAGCAGATGGACAGACTGGCGGGCAGACAAACACCCACACAGAGACAGACAGACAGGCAGACAGACATATGGGCAGAGAGATGGACAAACAGACGGGCAGACAGACAGACATATGGGCAGAGAGATGGACAAACAGATGGGCAGACGGACAGACATATGGGCAGAGAGATGGACAAACAGACGGGCAGACAGACAGACATATGGGCAGAGTGATGGACAAACAGATGGGCAGACAGACAGACATATGGGCAGAGTGATGGACAAACAGATGGGCAGACGGACAGACATATGGGCAGAGAGATGGACAAACAGACGGGCAGACAGACAGACATATGGGCAGAGAGATGGACAAACAGATGGGCAGACAGACAGACATATGGGCAGAGAGATGGACAAACAGATGGGCAGACAGACATATGGGCAGAGAGATGGACAAACAGACGGGCAGACAGACAGACATATGGGCAGAGAGATGGACAAACAGATAGGCAGACAGACAGACATATGGGCAGAGTGATGGACAAACAGACGGGCAGACAGACAGACATATGGGCAGAGATATGGACAAACAGATGGGCAGACAAACATATGGGCAGAGATATGGACAAACAGACGGGCAGACAGACAGACATATGGGCAGAGAGATGGACAAACAGACGGGCAGACATACTCGTAGGCAAACAGGCAGACAGACAAACAGCCACAGGCGTTGAAGTTGATGGTCTCCGGCATCACAAAGTTGCTTCTGCTCTCTACCTGGCTGGTTTTTGGTTACTGCCAGTGTCTCCTGCCTCACCTTGTTCTTGTGTACTGCTGTCTTAGAAAGTTTGAGCCTGGATGCAGCTAGCCATGTAGCTTTCTGCCAGCAGAACCAGGACCAAACCAGGATTTAAAAATGCATTTTTAAAATATATTGAGTGGTCTCATTTTTTCCCCACTCCTGTCTGTTATGTTTCTCCAGGTCGATATTGCAGCAGCTCTTTCTGAGTCTCACCTTTCCAGGTTTCCTACAAGCAGGTGAGCAACAGAACTCCTACGAAATATGTCACTTTAAGAAAAGGCTTGGTTTTCACCCCACCTGATATCTGGGTTCGAAGGAGAAAGATGCTTTTATCCTAAAGGATATACAATTAAAAAAGCGAGGTCTGGCAGTTGCTGGACCATTTTGGGTTAAGGGCCTTGCTCAGGGACCCAACATGTGACGACACTTTGCCAGCCCTGGGATTTGAACCAGTGACCTTCTGATCACGGGCACAGCATCCTGACCCACTGAGCTACACATTGCCCCTCCCACAGAATACAAAGCAGTCGGTGTTTAGATAAATGTGATCGTATGACATTTTACTATTTTGATGGATGTCTGTATGATTTGGCTTTGAGGATTTTTTGATTTGAGGTTGGCTAGCCCTCCTGTGCTAAAAACTCAGCAGACAGGTTGACACAGAACTCAGCATACGTGACAACCTGCCTGGTGGGAAAGGAGCCAGTGCTGGGGCGGGAGGTCGAGAGATACCAGTTAGATATAGTTGGGCTCACCCCAATGCAGAGCTCTGGCTCTGGAACCATACTCTGGAACCATACTCTGGAACCATACTCCTGGAGAGGGGCTGGACTCTATTCCACTCTAGTGCTCTATTTCAATGATGAGATGTGCCGGGCAGGTGTGGATTTACTCATAGCCCCTCGGTTCGGCGTCAGTATGTTGGAGTTCCCTCTGGAGAATAAAAGGGTCACCTCCCCTCGACTTTGAGGCGGGGGACGGGCTCTGACTGCTGTCTATGCCTATGCACTGAACACCAGCTCAGAGTATCCAGCCTTCTTGGAGACCTTGGATGGGGATCTGGGGACTCCATTGTTCTGCTGAGGGACTTTAATGCTCATGTGGGTGATAACAGTCAAAACTGGATGGATGTGATTGGGAGGAACGGCCTGCCTGATCTAAAACGGTGCGGCTCTCGATTATGCTAGTCACAGTTTGTCCAGAACAAACACCATGCCTCTTCAACATAGCATGGAGGTTGGGGACAATTCCTCTGACTGGTGAACTGGGGTGATGGTCCCAATCCTTAAGTTTGGGAACCAGAGGGTTCCACACTCCTCAGCCTACCCAGGAAGGTCTATGATGGAGTACTGGAGAGAAGTTTCATCTGTTGGCTGAACCTCAGATCCTGGTTCAACAGTGTGGATTCTATTGTGATTGTGGAACACTGCACCAGCTCTTCACCCTCACAAGGACGCTGGAGGGGTCGTGAGAGTTTGTCCAATCAGTCTACATGTGTTTTGTGGGTTTGGAAAAGGCATACAACCATGTCCTTTGGAGGATCCCGTGGGAGGGGTGCTTCAAGAGTATGGGGTACAGGGTCTGCTGCGGACCATCAGGTCCCTGTATAAATGGAGCAACAGTCTGGTTCGCTTCGCCAGCAGTAAGTTAGACTCGTTCCTGGTGGGGTGTTGGGGAAGTTCCTGCCAGGGCTGCCTTTGTCACCGATTCTGTTCATAACTTTGATGGACAGAATTTCTAGGTGCAGCAGAGGGGTGGAGTGGGTCAGGTTTTGTGGCCTAAGGTTCACGTTTTTGCTTCTAACAGATTAAGTGGTCCTAGTACTGTAGCTTCATCTGGCTATGACCTGCAGCAGGCACTGACGTGGTTCGCAGCTGAGTGTGAAGTGAAAGGGATGAGGACCAGCACCTCCAGTTTGGAGGCCATGATTTTAGACAATGAGTATCCCCCAGAGGAGCTGGAGGAGGTAGCTAGGGGAGAGGGAGGTGAGGGCATCCCTGCCCCATGTCCCAAACCCGGATATGTGGCAAAAGATGGATGGATGGATCCACAGCCTTGAGTAGCTGGGCCCAAATCCCTATCTGACTCTGCTACACATGATCCTGTACAAATGTGTCATTCCATTATTAAGCTATTAAGTTACCCACACATGCACACGTACAGGAAATTTCATGTGTGACTTTACCCTGCATTAATGAGTGACTGGTGTGTGCATCTGCCCTGTGATGAGGACTGACAGGTGTCTGAGTGAACCCTGTGATTTTGAGTGACTGGTGTGTGAATGTTCCGTGTGATGGTGAGTAACTTGTGTGTATGTCCTCCCTGAGATGGTGAGTGAATGGTGTGAGAGTGAGCCCCGCGATGGTGAGTGACCGGTGTCTTAGTGTGCCCCGCGATGGTGAGTGACCGGTGTCTGAGTGTGCCCCGCGATGGTGAGTGACCGGTGTCTTGAGTGTGCCCCGCGATGGTGAGTGACCGGTGTCTGAGTGTGCCCCGCGATGGTGAGTGACCGGTGTCTTAGTGTGCCCCGCGATGGTGAGTGACCGGTGTCTGAGTGTGCCCCGCGATGGTGAGTGACCGGTGTCTTAGTGTGCCCCGCGATGGTGAGTGACTGGTGTCTGTGTGTGCCCCGCGATGGTGAGTGACCGGT